AGCACGATAATGATGTACAACAAACACATACCACATCGAAAAGTTAGTTGGTATGCATATTTGCATAGTATAAGTGGGATCATGATGATATGCCTCCATATGCAACGCTACGTGTGTGTTCACCTACGCCACGTCCATTTGCATTTTCTTTCTTTCTTTCTTTCTTTCTTTATTACGGCGTGGAGCTGCGCATGCATGCGTTTTGTTTTAATAATCTCTTGGCCTAATATTTCCTCATGTACTAGATAACCTATATTACCGTCATGGATCTTGACTCCGCAGTGAATAATATGTTCCACCGCCTTTTTCTTTTCTGAAAAGACATCAAGAGATTTACTGCACTTTTTTACGAAATATAGTTTAGACGCGAACACATTCTATCGCTATTAGCACCTCCAAAAATACAGTGTTGACATATCTCAAGATTAACACAACCACATCAAGGTGAGGATTTAAACCTGAGTGGACAACAAAGAATCTAATTGGTTGAGTTACACTTGTCAATTTACGATTTACCACAAATTTTACTAGACAAGAAAAAGAAAAAAAAAAGAAAAAACTGTTCAGCCAGGCCAAAGAAATCACGCAAAACAAAACCACTACACGAGGTTAACAAACTCAAGTGCTATATTTTACTGGCTTTTTGATAATTTATTAGGGCAAGTACATTGGTATTGTCTCGTAAATAGTCTCATGTAGACTACTTAAGAGGTAACACATACAATAGATTGTCTTTTAAGTTGTCTCATAGTAATTTTAGGGTCCTTAATTTATGCATACAACAAATGAATATTTGTGAGTCACATGACAACAACCACTTGTATATTGCTGTATAAGCTGTCTCGTAGTCTTAAATTTTAGCTTATGAGGTGGTTGCTTCACAAAACAACTATCTCTTTCTCTTACCTCCCTCTCTCTTTCTCTTCCATGTCACAAAAAATCTGACGCGTGGCATTGCATGAGACAGCCTATGAGACTGCTTACGTGTACCAGTGTACTTGCCTTAAGTTACATGCACATACTTATTCGACCCCTGAAGCTTAAGTTCATATGAAAATATTGGTAATATTCACCTATACCTAGCAATTCACTTATATTTGAACCCCTCACGTACAGGCTCAATCAGGCCTTAGAAATAGAAATAGACGGTTGTATTTATTTAATCATGCTTACCAAGATCCGAAATCAATCGTTCTGTTCGCTTGGCTTATAAGTCGTATTTTTTCAGCCAACGAACAATATTTTTCTCTCACAACAAATCAGCCAACAATACTTTCAGTCATGGCTTATCAGCCAAGCGAACAGGGCAAGTCACTAGTCTTGGTATCATATTGAGTTGCATCCACTAAAAGTTTAAATAAAACCAGTACAAAAGTTTAACATTATTACAGATTAAGATATGCAATTCACTTTATATACTTTAACATTCTCAATCTCAATTCACTTTATAGGAGGATGACGCATCACATAATTCGTTTTGTTGTTTGGGACCTGTGGAGCTGCGCGTGCACGTTGCTTTCTTGACCTAACCTTTCCTCGTATTTTGTATATCGACGACACCCGGTCGATAAGCTGCATAATCGAGATTAGGTACACGAATGAGTTGAGCAGATTCAAGAACAACATATTTGTGGGCTCGCGGACAATCCTTTACGAGCTTACACCTCTAATCGCGACTGATCTTGACCAGGTTCGGTAAAGCAAGTCATCAAATGCTAAACAAGAACAGATCGACCAGCTTGACATTATTTTCTTCAGTCCCTTGAGATCACATATAACTGTTACTAATGGACTCGTCGTCATCAGCAACTGACGACAATGTCACCAACATTGTCCCTAGCTCGATATCATGAGGCAACATACGTATAGAGGCAAGGGTTTCCAAGTGACAAGAAATAATGGGTCAGAATAATCACATATACTTGTTCTATGGTTCAAAAGTAGCACGCACTTTAGGTTCTTTTTGGAAGAAGTCTTTCTGCTTCTCTTGTCACAGCACTACAGCGCCCGGTAGCCCGGTACTACAGGAGAAGTCGTTTCTCTCACATCCCTCAAATAAAATAGAAGCTGGTAAAGCAACTCATTGTTTTGGTCCCCAGCCTTTGGTATGGATTCTCGTTCAGCTTCTGAAGTTGTTGAGAGCAGTTATCTACCAAACGGCTCCACAATGCTCAGCTTCAAAGGGATAAGCTCCGGTATTTCCGCTGAGACAAGCGAGGAGAGAGACGATGAGCTGAAATATCTACCTTCTCCCAACTTCTTCTTAAAGTGGTGGCCCCCGTCGCACCCATGATCGCCTTTGCCCCCGCGGTGCCTACGCGCGGGCACGGACGCACGGTCGAAAAGGACGGCGTTGCACTGGCACGGAGAGACGTGTAACGGCCTGTATCTGGCTTTTGTAGCCTCTACTGTCTGTATCTGGCTTGGCTTATCAGCCACCTAACAGTATTTTTCTCTCACATCAAACTAGCCAGTGGTACTTTAGCCCATGGCTTATAAGCCAATCCAGCCGAAAGGCTGGTGGAGGCGCCAGTGTAGAGGCACGGGGCACATGGATGCTAGGGCGTCGGGCCACCTGAGCACCAGGCTACGTCGGCGCGGAGGCGATGGGGCGCGCGGGTGGCGGGGGCGTGCTGGCGACACAGCAGGGACACGAGGCCAGCATAGGCGTGCAGCGGCCGGAGGTTGAAGATGAGATGCTGATATGCGGCGTGCGGTCGCGTGTACGAGAGACCGGATAAGGTAGGAATTGAAAAGAAAAAAGAAAAAAATAAGGGTGTTATAGACATTTCATTATTCTCAATTTTTAGGACAAACTATTTTGCTAAATAGTCTAAAAAACAGATTTAGCTCCATGAGTGAATCTGTTCCACCAGGTGTAGCCGAAAAAAAATTACTCTAACATTGAAGCAGAGCTATACCAAATAGTCGCTTTATTTCATCATTTCTAACTACTATAGCAATCAAAGCTACAAGGAGCCCCAGACAGGGCTACTTTGTTAGTGTTTTGGCTCCTACCAAAATTGCTCTGCCTCCTTCACGGTAGCTGTTGAAACTTTTTTGAAAACCATTCACCAAGCACAATTACATAGTGGCAACATGGGTAACACTGAATGCTTAGGAAGGGAGGATAAGCAATCTAATCCACCTTTTTTTTTTTTTGCCTCCGTCTCGTGTGTGTGTGTGTCCTTGCGTGGAGCACTTTTTCTTCTGGTCATTTGGTATAGCTTCATCAAGAGGCGGTTAAGGCCGGTTGCTGGGAGGGCTAGCGTTAGCTAGCATGAGAAGACGATAATGAGGTGAAAAAGGGTGTCTTTTTTCCTTACGTTGGCAGCACCTACCGGCCATATATTCCAAGCTCCTCGTCGTCGTGCTCGCGCATCACCATTCGGCAACAATGTGGCCACCGGATGGTCCGCCCCCAAATCCATGCGCCCTGGCAGAATATGCTGCCACCGGTTGCATCTGTCCTCGCGGCCCATTTTGAAAGGCAAGGGCCACCAACACCGAGAGAGATTATCAAAGAATCATCCATCAGATCAGAGATCACAACAGGTAGCCTCGAGTACTCCTACTGTGTTTAAAAAAATGTTAGCACTAGTGATCTGTGTATGTTCACGTGTGCAGTGTGTGCTGGCTCCTTTGTTACTAAGGATAGTGCTGTTGATAGCACTCGACCGATCACTCAATCATGCATGCCAGCAGATTAAAATACTACCATGGCCATCAGTTACTAGGAGGATGCTATAATTTATATGTCTCATAGTCCATAAAAATTCATATTCTCTACTCCCTCGATACTGTAATACGATATATTCTAAAAATTCTAAGTTAACTTAAGGGAACAATCAAATGGCATATATATACTCATGGGTTAAACCTATTTAACAAGTTTCTCCTTAAATTATGTTTTTTTTCACAAACTCTATAAAATGTGAGCATGTTCACCGCGTAGAATTCCTTAATTTTAATATAAAATTTGAAAGTTATAATGAATTGTATTCTACTAGGGCAGGAGCGAGTATCTATTAAAATCTGAGGCATTTATTATTTTGCTATACGTCCTCCTATCTTTGAATAAAATTACTTTATGGAAAGAAAGCCCACCGTGATCTACATTAGTCAGAGTTCAACGATCTTTGAAAGGCAGTGTATCTGGGACATTGTTAAATTTCAAATCTTCCCCGCCAAGTTTCTTCAGATATTATCGTTTGATTTGATTTCGGGTCACTTGGATTGATTGTACAGTTGTAGTACCTTGGACTTGGCAACTGGGTCAAAGTAGTGATAAAGGTAGTAGCTTTGAAAAACAAAATTTTTTGGGTACTATATCGTCCTTAATTGCCTAGTTGATAATTAATAGACTCATACTAAGGGTTAGTTCAAAATTTTTTTCTCTAATTTCACTCTAAAAACTTTAATTTGATTTATTTTTTATTTATATTTAATTATGACTATTTTTGCGCAAAAAGATTCGATGTGACGATTTCTCGGTTTTGTGTAAATTAGTTTTTTTTTCATCTATTTTGGGAGCACCCGCTTTAAAAAAACAAAGCTCCAAGTACTACATCGTCCTTAATTGCCTAGTGAGATATACATATAGACTAGACTAAAAAAAAGATAAAGGGTCAACGACAAAGGAACCGGAAAGCCAGCCCGACGCGACGCCAAAACGGCACGAGGGACACTGGGACAGGGACACTGGGACAGGGACTCAGGAGGCCGCCCATAAAGGAGGGACCGCGGGAGGCCGTCGACTGCCCTGGAGCCGAGGAGGAGGGGCAGCCGAGCCAAGCAGACCGACCACGCGACGCTTGCTGCTGCCGCGGCAAGCCGGGACACGCGACCTGACCTCCCCAGCTAGCTAGCTAGCTACCAGCCGCCTACAGCAGTGAGGGAGGGAGGCCCTGCTTGCCACCCGTGCCGTCCCGCCCCTCCCCCGCGGCCGAGAGAGAGAGCGCGCCGAGCCCGCCTGCCCGCCGGCGCCGCGCGATTCGCCGATGCCCAGCCATGAGGCCTGCTGCGGCACCATGTTCTGGGTGTACCTCATGTCCTGCTTCGGGCTCGTCATGTTCGCCGGCCTCATGTCGGGCCTCACCCTCGGACTCATGTCCCTCAGCCTCGTCGACCTCGAGGTGCTCTCCAAGGCCGGCACGCCCAGGGACAAGCGCAACGCCGGTACTCCTCCTCCTCCTCCTCGTTTCGTCTCACCCGCGGCGGCGGCGGCATGTCCGGAGCAGTTGCTGCTGCTTAGCAGCTAGCCCGCACCCTTGTTTCTATTCTGATTCTAAGCTGTGTCATGTGTGTTGCCCTCGCCCCTCTCGCGCGCGCAGCCAGGATCCTCCCCGTCGTGAAGAACCAGCACCTGCTCCTCTGCACGCTCCTCATCGGCAACTCGCTCGCCATGGAGGCGCTGCCCATATTCCTCGACACGCTCGTGCCGTCCTACGTCGCCATCCTCATCTCCGTCACGCTCATCCTCGCGTTCGGCGAGGTGCTCTGCTTGCTTTCATTCATCCACTTGCTGATTCGGTTCCTGCTGCTGCGTCGCCCTTTCGTCCTGAAAAATAGTCCCCCCATCTGATTCGGTTCCTCCTCCTCCTCCCGCAGATCATACCGCAAGCCATCTGCACGCGCTACGGGCTCAGCGTGGGGGCCAAGGCGGCGCCCGTGGTCCGCGTACTGCTCATCCTCTTCTTCCCCGTCGCCTATCCGATCAGTAAGGTACGTTACGTGCTGCTGATTTGTTCCTCGTGTTTGAAAGAGGCAGTGAGGGATTGGAGCCTTGTGCTTGGCGGATTGTCCGCCTGAATTTGGGATGGGACGGCACAGGTGGGCGGCCGCGAGCAGGATACAGATCGATCGCTAGCTGGTTCATTATTTTAATTTCATTTGACAACGAAAAGGGATTTTCGCTCGTCTAGTCGTCCAAGTTACACGGTGTCATTGGCCCTTCGTCCTTTTATAAAATTGGATTGGATTGGATTGCGCACGCTGACTATGAAGTCACTTATTTAACTTGGTATCCGCCCAATGACACAAGAAGAACTAACTGGAACCGTGAAGCAAGAACCGTTGTCTTGATCTTATAATGTCGCTGGACTAAGTAAATGGAGATGTCTATATATATGCACACGTCTAAATGTGGCTGACTCATTTAGGGCAAAGCAGTTCCAGTTAAAGAACAGTTTGATCACTTCCACGATAACCTGACTGTTACTGATTAGCAATTCTATGGAATTAATTATACATCTGATTGTGAAGTGAATACCACAATTTGTCAATTCTATAGAACGTGAACGTCAGAAACATATTTTTCACCAAATAAAAAGAAGGCAGCCAGTTTGGTTGAGGGCAGCAAACTTCTTATTATTGTAGTATATGTAGTATGTGTTACTTACCCTTTGCAGTACCTTATTTGATTCTTATAATTGTCTCCATTTAGTTGTTGGACTGGCTACTGGGAAAGGGACATTTTGCACTAATGAGAAGAGCTGAGCTAAAGACATTAGTTGATATGCACGGCAATGAGGTTGGTATACACTTCTCTTCAAAGACTTCATATCCAGTTTAAACATTGTCATATGTACCTATCAGTTTCTTGCATTCATGTTATGCTACTTCATTTTTACATGTTTATGCTACTTAAATTATTGTGCCTATTTTACTCATGCAACTCGAAAGTTATCTCTAAAGTTCCTCATTTTCTTGTTCATTGGATCCCAGATAACCCTTTTTCATTATGTTTTAACACTTAATATGAGTGAACAAGGACAAACGCCCAAACAATTGTGATTGCACATTCCTATATGACATCAATATTATCTTTTTGACTTTTATTTAATATTAACTCTCAACGACTAAACAACAATATGGGCTACCATCTAACTCATGGTGTTTTGTTACTTTGTTGTTAGGCTGGAAAAGGTGGAGAGCTGACTCATGATGAAACCACTATCATTACAGGAGCTCTGGAGCTGACTCAAAAGATTGCAAAAGATGCCATGACTCCTATATCCAAAACCTTCTCACTTGACATAAATGCTAAGCTGGACTTGTATGAACCTTTCAACTTAGAGTATTTGCATTCCCTAATTGTTATATTATACTCATAGAACTATTTGATCTTTCTGTAGACACACGATGGGTATGATAATGACTAGAGGGCATAGTCGTGTTCCTATATACTCTGGGATTCCAAGCAATATTATCGGCCTTATATTGGTGAGTGACCTAAATTGATTGCACTTTTGGATAACATCAATTGCTACCCTGGTTTATTTTTTCCCAGGGTGGCCCTTAATGTAAAAAAAAATGAACAATTTATAAATTTCCTAATTGTTTGTTGACCAATAGTAAAAAAAATCTCCTTTCAGGTAAAAAACTTGATTACTTGCCGAGCTGAGGATGAAGTGCCCATTCGTAATGTTACTATCAGAAAAATTCCAAGGTATCATCAGACCAGCCCTAGCCCCTAGGGGCAACCATAATTTTTTTTTCTTATTTGTGCAATCTTATTTTGAGGTTCATAACTGTATAAGAACTCATTGCGTTCAATATATTATTCATAAATGTTTTGGATAATATGGGTGCATATCTTTCTCCTTAGTAATTTGCGTTGATTGTCTTCTAATTTCCACAACATGTTGCCACTGTTCTGTATATCAGGGTGGCTGATGATCTTCCTCTCTATGACATTCTAAATGAGTTCCAGAAAGGTCACAGCCACATGGCTGTGGTAGTTAAACGAACAAAGGAAGCAGGAGCATCCACTGAAAAGCAAAAGAGCACTACTGCAGATTATAAAATAAACCCCAAAGATGCTCATGCTGATGGTACATGCCTTTTAATTTTTCTAGTAATTTTTCTGCAGTGATTAAGTTTCACTCTAAAAAATGTGTGTTTCTGTGTACGCAGTACTATTCCATTAGCCTTTTGACTGATCACACGCATTTCCAGGAAATGACTGTGATTTGTCTTTGGCTTTCAGGCTCATCCCCTTCTTCTGCTAGCACTGCCGGAAGTCGTAGAATTAACATAGAGAAGCATGGAGACGGGCGCTCATATAATAAGAAATCAGAAAGGAAGCGGGAAAATATTCTTGATTTTAACACCAATCCACTTCCAAGCTATTCAATGGATGAGGAGGCAGTCGGAATAATCACGATGGAAGATGTCATGGAAGAACTGCTACAGGTTGCGCATATTTCTTAATTGAAGTTCCCATGGTGTGGAACAAGTATTTACATTGTTCACAGCATAACATTTCTATCATGCTTTCAAAGTATGCGCTTAGATCACCAGATAATGATGCTATGTGAGTGTTCTCCATATCCTATGGAAACATCATTTGGTTGCAACATGTTAGCCATCTTTAGGTACTATTCAATTAGGAGAGAAACTACAAAAAAAGCGTAGTTGAACTTGAATTGTGGTAATTTGTTTGTCTTCTCTTTTTTTTTCTCGAACAAAGTTTGGCTTCTCTCAGATATTGTAAACTGACATGACTCTCTTCGCAGGAAGAAATCTATGATGAAACAGATGAGTATGTTGATGTACATAACAAGTAAGTATTTCACTAATTCCCACTTATTCTGAATAGCTGATCTAAATCTATGCCACAGCTCATGATTTTCTTGTTTTATTACAGGATCAGGATAAACATGTTACCTCCAGGCAAATCACTGTCACCTACTATATCTCCTGGTGGTGGACCCTTATCTCAGGGGCTTCGAAGGACTCCTATGGCATCTCCATTCTCACCATACCACCATGGTAGTTCTGTCTTACGTTCCCCAGCTTCGAACCATGGTCAGTCACCTGGGATTTTACCGACAATACTTTCTCCTGGAAGATCACCTACTGCACAAACACCTGGGCAAAGTTCACCAAGTGGAAGTCAGGTGAGCATTCATTTTGCGTTAATAGACTGTTGTGTGAACTGTGTACTTAATTTTTTCAATAACTATTAAAAGAAGTCTCGAAGGTCTCAATGTTGTCCTCTTTTTTGGTAGGTTTCAATAAATTCCAACGGCCAACATAAAAAGGACGGTGAGAACTAACATCCCAGAAGATTGTTTTTCAGATGAAGGCCTCGTCTCAAGATTCAAGACGGCATGCATGATCAAATTATGACATTGCTAGCGTAGGATTAAGCTGCGAACATAAGTAGCACAGCTCTCTTGTATGGTTATTAGCCCATATTTATTGATTGCTTGCCTGTATATATATGCTTCAGCATCCGGACCTCAGTATGGCCTAATCCTCACTATGTATTGTAGAGGTCTTCCTAAGGATTCTCTCTCTTTTTGTTGTCGTCCTGTAGTTATCTGGAGAGGGAAAAAAGGTAAGCGTTGGACTGAATATATTTACGCAAAAATTAAGCCGATTTTGCGACTTGCCCTGCCCCCCTCATCTCAGCTGGCTTTGCATTGTTTTCATGGACTCGGAGGAGACGACAACAATTCAGATGTGATTGTGCAGAACAGCTATCGATCTTCATCGTTAACAATAAGCAGGCTTTGTGTACAATGATAGGTTCAGGCCTAGTCAATGGCTGGTGTGTCAGCAGCATCAATAGAATGATCAAAGTGTTGCAGTCAGCTCCTGGTCCTCCGCTACATGCCTGCTTAGCTGCTGTTGCCTGTTTCTGTGTCCTATGCCTTGTTTAGATTGCCTCAAAATTCCAAAGTGTTTTCACTATCTCTCCAGCACATTAATTTTTGGACGTATGCATGGAACATTAAATGTAGGTAAAAAAAATAACTAATTACATAGTTTGGTTGTAAATCACGAGACGAATCTTTTGAGCCTAGTTAGTCTATGATCGAACAAAGTTTGTCAAATACAAACGAAACATGCTACAGTGTCCAGATTGTAAAAATTTGCAATCTAAACAAGGAGACCCGGGAAAGGAGCAATGCAATCTCACCAAGTAGCCTGGTTGGTACGATCCCGAATCCCGATCCGCGTTGCCGAGCCCGAGACCGGACCCGGACAAGGCGGCGTTCGTTGAACTGGCCTATCAGCCCGTCACTCACCCAGTCAGTCCAGTCACCCATCTTCTAGACTCGTAAAGTTCTCTAGCCTTGTATGCTTGCGACCGAAGGCACGGGCCGATGCGCACACCGCCCGCCGCACGCTCCTGGCTTCTGGATTCCAGCGTGCCCCTTCCCCACAACAGCCCACCCGTCGGTTTCGTGAGCCGAAGAAGATCCGCCGCCCCTCTGGACGGGACGGGGGCCTGGCGTGTATCGCGGTGCGTCCGCGCGTTGCGTCCCGCGCCACCACCAGTCCACCACCACGTTCCAAGTCGCCGGGGCGTCGCGCTCGCACCCATCCATCGATCACGGCCACCACCGCTTCTTTTATATCGCAGCGGCCACGAACAGCGAGCAGCGCCCAAACACACGACTCCACGCGGCTACCTGCGACCATCCGCTCCCGCTCGCTCGCTCGCTCGGCGGAGTGGTGGACGACCGCGCGCGCGGAACGGGAACTGGGTCGATCGATCGAGGTGGTAGGACTGTGGGACCGACGGAGGAGTAGGCATGCTGCGGGCGAGCTCGGAGCGGCCGGCGGCCGCGGCGGGTCTGCTGTGGGTGCCCGGGATGAGCGCGTGGCCCACGATGGACGCGGGGTTGTCGGCGAGGGCGCAGGAGATCGCGCGGCGGCGGGAGGAGATGCTGGGGATGCTGCACGACCTCCCCGGGTCCGAGTACGAGCTCTCGCTCACCGACCTCGTCGAGAAGGCCGGGGGCGGGGCCGACGGCGACGGCGGGGAAGCCGAAGCTGCGACCGCGGCGCCCGCGCCCACGGCGAAGACAGAAGGGAAGGACCCGGGCGCCGCGCGGTCGGCGTCCGGCGGGCAGCAGCAGGCGCCGCCGGTAGCGGGGAAGCCCGAGCGGAGGGCGTCGGCACGGCAGCGGGACAGCGGGAGCGTCGGCGGGGGCAGCTTCCGCAGCAGCAGCGACGGCGTCCTGCTCAACTTCTACATGCCGCGGTCGCTCACCCGGAGCTTCACCGCGCCGCGCCACACCCGGACGCCGTCCGCCTCCGGCTGCCGGAGCCCCAGCGTCGCATCCGACTGCAACAAGAGGTAATTAATATAATCGATCATCTCCAACTCCAACCTCCAAAACAAACAAATTCAATCATCTCCAAACATTGCGTAGGCGTTTGCCATACGACTTGATCGATCAGTTTAATTTTATCCCAAAACACGTAGCATAATATGAATGGCGAATTCATGTCTGTTTTTTTATTGGTCGAAATGTATGTCTGTTTTTTTTTAAAAAAATTGACAAACCCACGAGTGTGCAAGTATTATTGCCCCAGTTTTAGTTTTGTTGAATTAGGAATATTCTTGGTTTGGTATGGTAATCATAGTATACTATAGGGCCCCATCAAATCAAATCCATGCGTTGAAAGTTGGCACAAATCCGAGCTAAGTAATCCAAAGCCGGCACGACATTTCCAAGGGAAGCACGCCTAGTCGTCGTCTTCTGAATACATGGTCGTAGCTGAGGTGCTGGGTGCCGCCAAAGCCAAGCTGTGTTTGAGGCTTCAAGCTGAGATGTGTAGACACTTCCTTCCTTAGTGTCCACTGCCGATGGTTTATTCCATCCCTGTCCGTCCACGTATCATCTTACAATGTATTAGTACTGGCTACTACTTAGCAGCATGATCATGCACCTATCAAGTAGTAGCTCGGCAGTAGGCAGGCACTGAAGGCTGATAGTGATAGCCAAGGCCTGTGAAAGCGACTCCTTTTAAAGCATACTCCGTAGATAGGTTGGTTACCACACAACCACATCTTGGCTTGGAAAACGTCTTCGTACCAGTCAGTCCGTAGCTGCCGTGCGCTCTTGTTCGGTAACCAACCACGTGCTCCTACTGTTAAGTGAAGCAGCAGTCCATAGTGCCGTGCACTCTTGTTTGTTTGGTGACCACGTACAGTTCAAGTGCCTGCATGGCCCTGGTTCAATTATTATTATCTACTAAGTATATTGCTGTTTGTGATGACTGATATAATAACCGATGATGCGCCGTGCGGTTGGTGGTGGTGCAGGGAGAGGGACCCGGACGCCGAGACCGTCAAGTGCTGGTCGTTGCTGTGGGATCGACGGTGGCGCAAGTCCAGCCGGCGGGACCCGGGCGCGCCGCCCAGCGAGAGCGAGTCCGCCATCCGCGCCGCGTCGGCCGCCATCCTCAAAGCGGCCAAGCACTCCGGTCCGCCGTCCAATATCTGAGCCGTTTCTTTTCGTCTGCTGCCGGATGCGTTGCTGGCTTCCAGTTGCAGCTCTGTGCTGTACGACTCTGTACATATGCTCTGCGTGTGATGTGATATAGTCCTGAATTACTGATGCGTTTTGTTTAGCTTGCTCGCTCAGTGTCTCTAATCGGCCTGCTCGTTTGGTCGTAAAGGAGCCAGCAGTAATAATTTACGATCGTAGCCCCAGTCAAACAGGCTGATATAGGCCTCGTTTGTTTAGATGCTCACCTTAAAATTTACTTCCTGTCCCATCGAATGTTTGACGCATACATAGAGTATTAAATATAGACTAAAAAAATAATTAATTACACAGTTTATGACTTATTTGTGAGATGAATTTTTAAGCCTAATTAGTCCATGATTTAACAATGTTGTGCTTCAGTACACATGTGCTAATGACGAATTAATTAGGCTTAATAAATTCGTCTCGCGGATTACTGACGGATTCTGTAATTTATTTTTTTATTAGTATCCGAACACCTATATGACACCCGATGTGACACCTCAAAGCAGTGTCGCATGGGGTGTTCGGATACTAATAAAAAAAAAATTACAGAATCCGTCAGTAATCAGCGAGACGAATTTATTAAGCCTAATTAATCGTCATTAGCACATGTGTTACTGTAGCACCACGTTGTCAAATCAAAGACTAATTATGTTTAAAAGATTCATCTCGTAAATTAGTCACAAACTGTGCAATTTATTATTTTTTAGTCTATATTTAATACTCTATACATATGTCCAAATATTCGATGGGATAGAAAGTAAACTTTAGGGGAGGAATTAAACAAAGCCTTAATCAATGGGGATATGAACTTTCAGTTGCAAAATTTGAACTGAAAGCAGGGCTTTCTTCTCATTTCAGGACATGCGTTACGAATGGGGATAGCTCTTCCCATGCCATTGCAAAAATGTTTTAAGTCCTTATTCTCTCCATTACAAATGGGTATTTCTTCACATGCCATTGCAGAATGTACGATCCATTGCAAACATAATGCAGCATCACAAGTTCACAACATCTTACCTATGTTCATCTACCCCGTCAGGCAGAATGAAGCACGCACCACGCCTTTCTAACCAAAAAGCTTAGGCTCTGTTTGTTTTGCTGAAGCATAGCTGAAAATACTGTTCGCCGATTAATTGTGAGAGAAAAACACTGGCCATGTTCGCTTCTCTTATAATCTGTCTTTTTCAGCTTATTTTTTCAGTTGGAAGAGTGTTTTTCTCTCCCAACAAATCAGCCGGAATAGTGTTTTGACTTGTTTTTTCAGCGAAGCAAACGGGGTCACTGTTTGTTCGTTAAAATAGTACGGCTCATAAGACCAACGAACAGCGCTGTTAGAATCTCTTCTTGACAGATTTTTCTACACAACAGCACTGCTTATACATAAAGCAGACTAGAAGTTCACAACAAAACGCGAGAAGAAAAACCCAATCATCCACGGATTACAGATGGACTTAGCGGAGCCCTTATTTGCCACCATTCCTCATGTCTTATTGCAGAAATCCATCTATTGCTACTCAATGTCACTCAGTCTCTGGAACTCTGTATCAACAGGGTATGGGAAAGGTGTCATGTTCAATGTTTAGCTAATGAAGAAGACCCATTATAAGCTATTATGTGCTTACATTTGAAACCTTTATCCAAGACTCAAGTGTATTAATGGCTTTGCCGGACCGCTGTGTCTCCTGTGCTAGTGCAACACCGTCATGTAAATTCTTCACTTTACCACTGACAAGTAGGGATGCAGCGGCATTTAGAACCTGTGTAGCAAAATACGAATTAGTCTAAGCTTATAGACACCAATTGATCATTACAAGTGCAATCCAATTCTAAAATTTTTAATCATTTTATTTTAAGCAGGTACTACATGAAAACTGTTTTGTACTAAAAAGTGGTAATCAAGACACCAAATTTTAGTCAGCAAGCTGCTTAAAAAGATCTTGGGTACAGAACGTTGTGAATCCATTAAGATATATGCGGCCATTTCTTCAGGAAATATAAAATGCACAAAAACTGGAAAGAGATAGCTAGGGCTAACTTACAAGGGCATCTGCAATGGACCCCCTTTGACCAGCAAGAACATCCTGGAGAACTTTTGCATTAAATGCTGGATCACCTCCTTTCAGATCTTCCAATGTGCAACGAGGAATGCCAAAATCCACTAGATTGCAATACATACAGAAGATGTTAGATCAAAGAATTATATTGTTTCCCTTCATCCACTAGTTCATTGATTTGGTTATCATATACTCCTACTTCAGCAGTAACCAAACATATATAACATAGAAAAGAAAGCAGACAATATGAGTTGGAAGTGCAAATTGATGCGACCAAAATAAAATGATATCGCATAAAAGGATGCCCATTGCAGTCTACTTTTGCAGATTTCAAGAGAAAAGTAAGAAATACTCTTACATGGATCGAAGAGCATTTTTTCAATCTTTCCTGGAGTAACATCAAGGATATATCCAGGACCTGCAGCAATTAAAAAGAATCTTCTGTCAAATACATAGTCGACCAAGAAGATACGAGGTAACTTCTTGTGTAAGCACAGCCATTTGTAGCAAAACAGTGGCACCAACAGAGTGAAACCATTTGAAAGTGTGCATACCAAGTGGGCTTATTTCATCCAAACCCTTTGAATGGACGACCAATGCTCTCTTCATTCCAAATTTCTGAGCAGCCTTAGCCATCTTGGTAACCTATTGCCAAAAGATTGCAACGCTTTGGGTCAATGAGTATTGCAATGGATCAACAGTAATCATATGGAGCTTGTTAGATTATTTCTATTTTCAATAAATCGCTACTATATTTGTAAAAACTATCAATAATATTTTCTCCAACAGAGTAAAAAAACTGAAAAAGAGCATTCATCTGAAAGACAGACTTTGTTTAATGGATTGACTGAATCTTCTAGCTGCTTTTATCTGATCTCCATTTTATGATGATAATCATCGGACATACCATGCTTGTTGTATAGTTGCATCATACTACTACAAGAAAGGACTAGATGAATGTATACTTACTATGTTTTCATGGTAAACACCAATAACAGCATGAGGCACCCTTGCTGGATTCAATAGAGGACCAAGGATATTGAAAACTGTCTTTATCTTAAGCTTCTTCCTCACAGGTCTGACAATTTTCATTGCAGGATGATAATTTGCAGACATCATGAATCCAACACCCACCTCATTGACACATCGTTTAATACCCTTGCAATAGGAAAGGTTAGCAATGTTAAGCTATTAATCCCACTTGCCAGCTAATGCTAAGATTGAAACACAGTACATCAAGGTTAGTCAAGGACAGTGGACATAAAGCCTTTTTTTGGTAGGGGATAAAGAAACATAGTATTATATAACAAAAGTAGATTCATGCACTCAGAGCACAAGAAGGTTGGAGGGATTGCCTATGCGATCAGACCATATAGTGCACAAATTACAGAATCTGAACATAGCCTATTTAAACCAACTGAGCGTGAGCAATTTAAACTATCTCTCGATTATAGAATCAATGGTAGGTATAGTTGATTCCTGTATGTTGTAGTTACCACTCAAGAGTATAGTTCAAAAGTTTGACAAACAGAAATGTTATTAGAGGCAGACAACCTTATTTTCACTTAACAGTACATTCTGGAAATAGATCATATAATAGATAAACTCATAAGTGAGGAGCATGAACTAGACATGAGCCTATACGTGTTAATCATATTGTCAAACTCACGGAGAAAAGTAATCAAATGAGCAGCCAGTTTGAAAAACTGAAACATCAAGAAAGCTCTCCTGACAATTGAACATACAGACATCTAAGCAGCAGCAGGAGCATCTCTGGATAAATATTCTCGTAATCTACGAATTGCATTTGAACTAATGGGTGAAACTCAGTCTGTAAATGTTGAGTTATGTGGAAATAAATTCATAAGTATGAAGCACCTTTCAGCCTCAGGATGTGACTGCTTAAATCACACAAGTTTACCGGTACACGTAATCATTGGTTTGACTATATAATCTTGCACTGTAATCCACACACAATAATTGGATACTAACACTTCACGTGTGTCTCCTTTTGTACTAATAAGCATGTTGTAGAAATAAAATGAAATTGAGAGGTCCCAATCTTCATATCAATCATCCTAAAGCCATCACACAGCATATTTCTTAGAGAAAGGGGCAGCTCCTGGCTCCCTTTCACTAGGATAGTCAGATCTGAAGTTTAATTTTCCATACCACTTCTGTGGATGGTAAGAGGCCCCGTCAGTGGTACCCTATGACCTGGTAGTTCAAAGGTACTAGGACGCTAACAAATGGAAAAGTCACAGGGCACTAGAAAACAGTGCACTAGCGGAGCTGCCATCGTGGTACTTAGGATGCTGTAGGCAGAATCTGATGATTGATTAAGAAATACGTGTCGGTACCTCAGGTCCAAGCTCGATGTTGACCCCAAGCGCCTCCAGCACATCGGCGCTGCCGCACGCCGACGAGCTGGCCCTGCTTCCTTGCTGCTCAACGCAATCAACGCATCAGCAGGACCGCCAGCGTCCAAACCCAAGGCCGATAATCCCAAAAGCGCAAAACACGATACCTTAGCGACCTTGACGCCGGCCGCGGCGGCGAGGATGGTGGACCCGGTGGAGATGTTGACGGTGTCTGCGCCGTCGCCGCCGGTCCCAACAATGTCGACGGCGTCGTCCAGCCCGTCGACCCGGACGCAGCAGCTCAGCATCGCCTTCGCTAGCCCCACGATCTGAAACAAAGTCGACGACAAAAAAACCAATCAGCGTCCGCCGAAATCCAAGCCGTCCCGGGCTCCCGGTAACGAAATCAGCCGCTTCCTCACGAACACAAACCACACCTCTTCGTAGGTCTCGCCCTTGGCCCTGAGGAGGACGAGGAAGGCGGAGATGCGCGCCTCATCCTTCTCGTCGAGGAGCAGCCGCAGCGTCGCCTCTGCGTCCTCCTCCGAGAAGTCGGTCCCGCCGATCAGCGCCTCCAGCACCTGGCGCCACCACCACGACAGCAACAAACGAAATGAAGCGACCACCACCACAACACCCAAGGCAGAAGTACATCCGCTCAACGGGGACGGGAGGGCACACCTTGTCGAAGGAGCCGATGCGCGGCGCGGCCGGCGCGGCGGGGGGCTGCACGGCGACGCAGGCGGGCGGAGCGAGACGGCGCGCCGGGAGGGGCCGCGCCTGGGCGCGGCGCCCGCGGAGGAGCGCGGACGGCGCTGAGGCGAGAGGTTCGGGGCTGGCGAGCTTGAGCGACGCGGCCGCCATTGGTCCCGGCGCGCGCGTCCGTGCGCGCAGTGGGGGATTCCTTCTGGATTCTGGCGTGGGATGAGATGGTCGCGGGAGTCGCGGGGCAGGAGGCACAGCACGTTTGGGGCGGGCAACTCGGATCAGTAAAACGACACGGCGGCTGAAGGTGAATTTGATTTGATCTCCACCAGCCACCTACCTCCGTGCGACCGTGCCGCTCGAAAACACCGTTTGTCTTGCCCGCATATGGCCCGTTCGCCTTACTTCATATTTCAGTTTTTTTAGTTAGAATAGTATTTTTCTCTCACAATATTTTAGCTAGAATAGTATTTTCAGTTAATTTTAGTTAAAATTTAGCAAGCCGAACGGAGCCTAGGCCTATGAACTTTTCATCTGTATCGTAATCTATTTTTTACAACACAATGTACCCGGCCCCAAATAAATCAATTTATAAATTAACTTTTAAAGTTGTTCTAAGTCAAAGCTTCTTAAGCTCAACCAAATTTATAAAAAAGAGTATATAGCGCCAAATTAATATCATTATATACACCATAAAATATGTTTTTTGTTGTGTGCTTATTTTATGTTATAAATATTGATATTTTTAATAAATTTAGTTAAATTAAAGAATTTGGGTTGCAACAACTCGAGAAGTTGATTTTTTTTAGGGGGCGAATGAAGTATTATCCTATGATCATCTCCAAGATATCAACAAGATATGAGATTGACAAAGTTAACACTGATATCGTTTGTTGTGACTTTACCTCATCTTGAGATTTGTTGCTTTAGTCTCTTCAAAGGTGTTTATAAGGTATTGAATATGTGTAAATGTGTATAGTTGAATATATGTACACATATGAATATTTGTGTTTGTACTATGGTTTGATAAAAAATAACAGTTATAAATAAAAAAAATCTATTTTACGGGTATGGTTTGATCGGTTAGGATTAGTTATTAAATAAATAAATAGAGCTAAAAAATAATTCAAATTAACACGCTTAGCTAACTAGTTGGCTTACAGGTAGTTGGAGGCTTAGTTAAAAATTACTAAACTTAGAGCATCTCCAAAAGACTTTCTATATCTTTCCTAATTTACAGGAATAAAGATTTTGGTAAGAAAACATCCTCCAACAACCTCTTCAATTGGATATCCAAATATAGATATCATCTATTCCGGATTTCTTATTAGTCAAAGATGGAGAGCGGAGAATGGCTTTATAGATTGGGCGTAAGATATACAAAAGCTTTTGGAGAGTAAAAAATATAAAAAATAATTTTTACTCAAATGACTCTCCAAATGATAATTTAGATAGTACATTTAGAAAAGGCTCTTGGAGTATTAGCCTTTGTTTAAATAGATTGGGGTTACTAGCTAAACAATTAGTTATACGCATACGAACAGGCACTAAACGTTTGCACATTGCGTTTGTCTATACGTCTGTACACCTATTTGACTCGACGTACCAGGAGCAGAACCCAACTTGCCCTTTTCTTCGGGCGAAAATTTAGACCTGTCACGTCGAGTGTATTAAATATTAAATATAGACTAATTATGAAATTAAATACACGGATTGAGACTAATTTAGAAGACGAATTTTTAAGTCTAATTAGTACATGATTTGACAATGTGATGCTATAGTAAACATGTGCTAATGACGAATTAATTAGGCTTAATAAATTCGTCTCGCGGATTACTGAGGACTTCTATAATTTATTTTTTTATTACTATCCGAACACTCGATATGACACCTCCACGTGACATCCAATGTGATATTCTTAAACTTTAGCCCCTGAATTTAAATACCTTTGCTCATCTCGTTTTGCGACCATGATGATTGACGAGATCTTGATCATTCTCGCGTCTCACGTGGGTTATTTTTATGTTATCTTCGAGATGGGTTTCACGTGGTTTCAAGAGTAGGATCGTGTATCGACCTGATCATCTTCCATTTGTACATTTGTGAAATTAGCTAACATTCAATCGGGCTCCTCGTCAGAGGTTAAGGGCTTGTTTAGATGACATAATTTTAAAAAAAAAACAAGAAGTGTCATAAAACTATGATTTTAAAAGCCAAAAAGAGATAAAAAAAATAGTTTAGAATAAAAAAAGTCATGAGTGAAGTTTGTTACGTCCAAACACCCAATTGCTTTTAAGAACCAAAATATTTTATAAAACCATAGTACTTCAATACTTCAAAATATTTTGCATCCAAATAGGGCCTAAAGCCCAAATTCTCATTTAGCACGATTCCAAAAAACTTGATAGAACCAAGAGTCAAAACCAATAAAGCTAAAAATAATAAGTTTATCACCTCATAATTCATTTTTGACAAGAAAGATGCCCCAAAGATAAAACGGTTTCTTATGGCAACGGAGAACGCACGGAGAAACCAAAACCGAAGCCAACATGAGCTCCATCAAACGAGGCGAGTCCACCATGTGCTTCAATAGCAACAACCCGACAAGGACGGAAGAGAGACGATCTTGTTGATGTTAAGGATACCCGCATTTGTCACAACTTTCTAGTCCATTTGTCACTAAAAGAATGTACATCTCGTGATTTATTTACTGTAAAAATGTATTACATGATTGATCTAATATACTTATTTGACATCATAATTTTTTTAACAAATTTAATCAAACTTAAAATTTATGTTTTATAAATTTAATCAAATTTAAAATTGCTGACTTCTTGACAACAAGTTGTGCCCTCTTTTTTGTGGCGAGGGAGTACAGACGAAGAAAGTGAAAGTGACCTGTTTGTCCTGGGGTTTGGTGGGTCTCGATTATCCGTCGCTGTAGAAAATTCGGAGGACCCGTGGAGAAGCGTATACGTTGCCGCTTGCCGGTAACTGCCCGGCGTCCTGCGGTCTGGTGCCGGAATTTGCACGGCGTTAGGCCACCTGTGGACGCATACCTGGGAAGATCATCAGTCGCAGGTCAAGATTTCCATGTTAAAAAACACCAACGGACGTCTTGTGCAGTTTACTTGTATATAGGACTATTGTACGCATAACAGCAAAAGCCACTGCACCAACCACGTCTCTGCATGTGCACCGTTTAGATCCAAAATTTTTTTGATTTTAGCTATTGTAGCACTTTCGTTTGTATTTAGTAATTAGTGTCTAATTATGAACTAATTAGGTTCAAAAGTTTCGTCTCGCGATTTCTCACCCAACTGTGCAATTAATTTTTTTTCCATCTACATTTAGTACTCCATACATGTACCGTAAGATTCGATATGACAGGTACTGCGCAAAATTTTTTGGAATCTAAATGGGGCCTAGAGAAATATGCGAAGCTACACTGTGGAAACTGAAAAGCATGTTACACGAGGATATATCTGACCATAGCGACAACTCAAATGCCATCTGACATATACCACACTATTAACGTGATGGGCATACATGATGAATTGATGTGCCTACATAACATCAGAAAGGACAAAATTGGGCGCTTAAGCAGAGGGAGAGAAAAATTGGAAGCTAAATTTTCCACAACAAAAAAGGAAAAATTGTAAGCAAACCGAATCAAACAACAATGATGGATCCGATCCATTTTACAGTCCGCAGCATGGCTAATCAGTAATCTAGCCACCTAGTGACTCCATCCTCTTCACTTGGTGCTGCGAGGATCTCAATGCAGACGTCCAATACAGCCTACAGTAGGGGGGGGACCAATTAGCTGGGAGCTGAGTATAAACTTGCAAGATTTGTTGATAAAAAGACAAGAGCCACAATTTAACTGTTTCAATTTAGAATTTACTACCTCCCGTATCAAGGGTACTACATAGTCTATTAAGAAATTATACTGCATTCCCGCTACATCTTAGCTTCCATTGTTCAGAATATCAATTAGAAACATGCATACCGAAGGATTTCTGCAATTGATAAGCTTGCTACCCTCCAGCAAGGACCCGTCCAGCATCCAGTTCTCCCAAACATCAAAAGAATGGCTTGCAAAGACAAACTCCGTCTTCCTATTAATCTGTCAATGTATTGCGATAAAACCTTTATAAGAACATCAGCGAACAAGGGCACCAAGCAAAAGGATGCCTCTATTTCTCAAACTTTTTCTTGTTACAAAAAAAAAAAATTCTTTGCAGTTTTCACACTAAAGCAATTGTCATTCTCCTTGAAAGCTAATAACGTAGAACTTATTGTATACAGTAGAGGATTCCAAATTTCCAAGGTACAAACTTGTGGACCCAAGTGTTAAGAAGGAATTACTGACAGAAAAACAAACAAACAGGTGAACGTCAAATTAAAAATGTGGACAAGTAGGTGGCTGAGTGAATAAATTAGGTGTTGAGGTCTATGTGCTCGTTATATTAGGTGTTTCATACATGTGTGGATATTGACTTTTGTAAGCTATATTTTTCCAGCTCGCATAAGTAAAGTTTGTGATAATTATAGTTCATGTCAAGAGACAATAGAGTAGATTGTGTAATATCAGTAATATCAGCTTAGCTACTAGGTTCATTTATTTGTCAAAACAATACAACACCGAATAGATCAGGTTGCGTAATATCAGCTATTCAGCTTGGCTACTAGTTTCGTTTATTTCTCAAAACAATACAACACCGGTCACCTCATTGTCATGCCCAAAGGGTCCACATGATGGAGGAAGGATTAGCACTAAACCTCCCTAGGCCTGGCTCATTGTTCAATCACGGGCGCAACTGTCTCTTGACACTCCATTCATTTTCTACTGGTAAAATAAAATAGCTACTCCTACAACTAGTCAAGTAACCATAGAATCAGATAGGCTTATACCTGTAGTAGCTTACCACCAGCAACAAAGGATCGGAGCCCCATAGTATCCTGAAAAGTACATGTCTTGTCAGTGCCCGCCTGTGCATAAAACCGTAGCAGGCATGAAAACTGAAGGAGGGAGTGGTGGCCATAAGCCTACAATCGTACCTTGTTTTTGAAAGTAACGAGGAACTGAGCAGCGGGGTCCCTGTTTGTAGCATTTGAGACAACATCAAGAATCCAGCCACCACCACCAACTGCTC